ACTATATGACTGGGTCTCTCCTTCTTAATCTGTAAAATGAGAATAATAAAAACCCTAATTTATGGCATAGTTGAGAAGATTAAAATTAGCTAATCCACATAAAATATTTAAAACAACATTTGGCATAAAATAAATCCTCACAAAATATTAATTAGGATGTTAGAATGGTGATAATGTTTCATGATATGAGGATGAATTACTGGACAGAAAGATTGTTACCCTCTGAATACTAACTCAAGTGTTTTATAGACCTTAGGACATACATATACTTAAGAAAATATAACTAAGATAAGAAATTTGAATACGGGTATTTTATGTTGGGTGACAAAACTTCACTTTGAAAATATTCAAATGTGATTATAGGCAATCAGATTTTGCCTATATCAGCCTATAAAAACACACGTAGGGAGAATTTTAAAGCCTTAAAATGACAATTCAGATCCTTCTTCCAACTGTACATTAAAATCAATTTTCTTACTGTTAGTTAATAGAAATTTTAAACATTAACATATTTTAAAAATATTTTATACGAGGAGAAATTCTAATATTTCAATAAGGTGTCTTTCTGCATAAGTCACGCACAGAAATCTCAGGGTGAGAAAGGGGCCAGAGCAACACTGTATGGTTTCAGATATCGAGCTATACTATTATGTCAGTGCTAAGATCAATTAGCGCCTTTTGATAACAGGAAAGGTTACAGTGAAACCCAGAGGTACACCCTGAAACTGTGTTAAACCACCATAAAAATGTGGGTTTGATCCCTCAAAATGGTTTCTATTTTTAAATTCATCATGTTCATCTTTTTCTGGAGGAAGGAAACGAGTTAGGGGGCAAAGGACAGCGGTCTCTCCATTTCCACTGCCTCTCTTCTAGTAAATCCAGGGGTGGAGAAAGGCGGGAATCAGGAGCTACAGGTTTACGTGACTTCTCACCAAAGAACACGCGAGTGTGCAGCGAACATTAGATGACGGTGATGTTTACAAAGCCTTCGACCCTCCTGAAAGCATTTAAATATCTGACTCTTGTTTATTTTCTTCCACTCACTGGAGATCAAGTCAAATGACACCAAGTTTGGCTCTATGTCCAGTTTCATGCATATTCACTGCTACTCCACATTAAAACACATCTAACTGCAACACACAGCACTGCACACACACACATTACAATTAAACACACAGTTGTAACTCACCCATCTGGAGGGCAAATGCCTGCAAAAGCAAGTCCTTTCTCAACTGACTAGAAAAATTTCACGAGAGAAGCAGGTACCTGCATGCTGCCCCTTGCCCCTGGTGTTGATTTCCTTCACCCAGTAACCATTGTAATAAAATCCCCCAACTGTATTTCTGAATACAATTAGTTTAAGATACACTACTGAGCGACGCATTATAAGAATTTAGCATATGTAAGGATAATATCCGTTTGAAAAAGAAACTGTCAAGATTGTATTCTCATGGAAAAACTACCACAGTGTTTGATACAGGCTTGCTCAGCTCTTCAATGAGAGGATTCCAACATTCTCCCACTTCGGATAGCCCACTTTTCTATTTATTGCTTACATGAATGATCCGAAATATTTACAACCAGACAGTACCTAATTTTAGGTTTTAAGTGCTTTAACAGCTCCATGAAATATGATCAGCAGCTGCAATACAAAACTATGGTGAATAAACTCCTTATAAAGGGGGGCCTGTTTTTACTGAATGTTCAGGGTTCTTGCATTTTCGTTGATAGAAAAAAAAAAAAGATAATGAAAAGCCATAATAAGTACTTACATTCTTAAATTACTTAACACTTCACTAAGTCGAGGAAGGGATTATCTCCCCTCATTTTGAATTCTGAGTAAAAAGTGTGAAGTTTCAGTGAGTGGAATAAGTTTAATTTTATTATGTAAATGTTTGGGCATGAATGTTCCAATAGTTTCAATTTTTATATCAATAATTGTAGGTTCTCTACCATTCTACTTTTCTAAAAGGTCTGGATAAGTTAATTCCAATGTGTAAAATAAAATAATATCAGGCCACATAAATATATTTTTAGATGCGACCTCAGTCATTTAGCACTTGCGACACAGACTGAAAACATGAAACAGGATACTCTATTTCCCATGGCTCTGTAAAATTTATTTACACCCCAAATCACAATATAAGTAAAAAAGAAAGTCTTAGAAATGGAGAGCTTTTTTTTTCTTTTCTAACACAGAGAGGATTTTACAAAAGAAAAAATAAATTACTTTATAAAAATAAAAATGACAAATCACTCATCTGCCAGTCTCCCCCTGAGAAAAGAAATTTCTAGGCATACAATTTTTTCACCCAGCTTCTAGAAATCCTCTACAATTCAACTTTTCTGTTACTTAATAACTTGTTATTTTTACATAAATTTGAAGTTTTTCAATGTCCAAGCTTAAGCATACTACTTGACACAAGTAGTACTTATGAGTATATGTAACTATTCCAGAGATGAGAAATTACATTTCCAATATTTAATAAAAATAAGAGCCAATGCAAAAAGAATCGAAGAAATCTTGTTATAATTGTGAAACAGACTTTAATTAAGACGACCTTAAAATGTGGAAGCACACTTATTTTCAGGAAGCTTACAAAGGAAACTAGGCTTTTGAAAATCACATTGATTTTAGACCTTTCCTTAGAAAAGACAGTGATACACACATCCCTAATAATGAGAAAAAGAAAAAGTTTCATCTAATTATGTTGCAAAGCTATTATTTTCAAAGATTTTCCTGTTCTTGTAGTTACTTCTAAAAAACTGGTTAACTTTGAGTGACCTGCAGTTTTTAATCAAGTGGAACAAACTATTTACATGGTTCATAGTAACAATAAAGGTGAGCGCAGTTGTGTCTGCGTTTTGTATTGTTGCCATAAAACTCGGATTATGGCAGTGTCACTCCACACCAAACAGTTTGTCTCTTGTTACTACTGCTTTTTATTTCTTGGGATAATGTTATTTTTTAAAAATACACAGAAGTCTGAATGCAATACGTTAAAGCACATCTTATTAGAAATCAAACATTTTGTTTCAAGATTCTCCCCCTGCCCCCTTCCCTGGTTGTTTTGGTTCTTCAGGTGTAAGCGAGACATATTTTAAAAGTTAAAAAAAAATTAAAAGATTATGTCTGTTCAAAACCAAACTGTAACCAGGAAAGTTATCAACCAGTGTAATTCTTGTCCCAAGAAGGTTTTAAAAATAAAAATATGGAAAATCAGGTCAACACAAACAAAAACACCGTCACTTTCAGTGCTATCATCCACCCAGGTGGAAAAGAAACTCCAGGAGCCTCGGCCGAGCCCGCGGGGGCTGCGCTCTGCTGCACCTCCCAAGCCCGGCACCCGCGGGAGTGAAATTGACAAGCGCCAGAGGGTGCAAAAGTGGCCGCTGCGGAGAACAGGAACAAAATGCCATAATCCAGAAGATAGATTTCGCTCCAACAGTTACGTTGATCCCAGGGTGCCGAGCCAAAGGGGGAAAGGGAGAAAGAAAACTGTTAAGTATGAGCTCTTAATGTGAAACCCAACCTGTGGGTCCTCTGAGGTATCAGATTTTGGAAGTGTCTGTAATGACAGCCAGGAAAGCAAATTAATGGCCAACAGCCTACTGGGTTTGAACACGAGACTCCAGTTACCTCCTCATAGATCAAGTACACAACGCACACGCACACGAAGGTGCTCCACGTGGAAGTTCTCGGAAACCAAAACACAAGCCCGGCAGCGACGCTGCACGCTGGCCCATAGAATCGAAGGACCTGCACCTTCCCGACTGCCCCCCGGTTCTGATTCCTGAACTACCTGTGCACCCGCTGGGTAGTGGCAGAGACAGGCGCCAGGGACCAGAGAAAGAGCAGGATCCCCAACACAGCACCTTCCACGCGCACTGTCACCCAGAGCGAGCGCAAGCCCAGTTCGCCTGCTCCGGACACGAAACGCTGACCGCGTGGTGGTAAAGAGGGACGCTACCGCCCCAACTAGAGAAGACAGGAAAAAAATCTAGCTGCGCTCTCTGCTTTCCCCAGATGCGAAACCGCTAGATTTGGTCAACAAATTCCCTAATGGCCCCGAGCGATTCCGAATCTTGCGTACAAAGAAGGCGTGGGGGGGGGGGGGTCTTTAAAGTGGCGCCCAAGGAAAGTTTTGAGTTGCTGCGTGTCACAGAATAAAACGAACGCACACATTGTCTACTTCCAATCCCACTTCACCATGCAAAGGGCAGGAGGGGGAAGAGTTGTTTCAAGTCCCAAAATGGTCCCAGACCCCAGACCACGCAAGATTTCAAAGGAGAGAAAAACCTGCTCTCCCCGCCAGGTCCCTTTGCTTGGAGAAGTTAGACTCCCTTCAAGGCATCCGCGTCTCGAGCCAATGAACGCGACTCTTCTGACGAGGCGCCTCTAATTTCACGGACCCTGGCAAACGGTGGGAGACTTTCGGTTCACCCCACATAAAAACGATTCAAGTGGGATCGCCGCAGTTGAAAGCCGGGTCAGTGCCTGAGAGTCCACGCGCACCGGCAACCAGACAACCCAGGCGCCTGGAGCACTCCGGGGACACTGGGTCAGCATCCTTGAGCCTGGGCTAGTTAGGGGGTTATCACCACGTCCTAAACCACAGGGGCCAAATTTAGAGGGGACGTTGGCGCACACGTCGCTGCGAGGCGGGGGTGGGGTGCGTGTGGGAGCCCAGCAAACTCTTTGGGCGCCCAGCGCACTGAGGCCCGTCAGGGGGCTGACCGCTCCTAGGAGACCCTGGGAGAACCGAGACGTCCTCCCGAACAGAGCACAACACCTAGGCATTGCCGGGGCCTGGGCCCCTGGGGACGGGACACCCCGTCCTCGCGGGCCTCCTACCCAGGACTCCAAAGTCCGCGCACCTTTCCGTTGGGACCCCGGTCTCCAGCACAACCGCATATACTTTTAGGGAAGCCCAGGGGGCTCCTTAACTCCAAACTCCCGCGCGTTCGCCGGTTAGTCGAGGAGGAAGAGGGCCACTCACCTCCTGTCTCCCGGGCCGCCTCGGGCTCCCCAAGTTCTTCGGTCTGAGCCTCAGCTCTGCGCGCCGTCCTTAGGTGTTTATTCTCGCTCCTTCCAATGTCTAAGTTTCCCCTTCGCGTCGTGTCTCTGGTGAAAACAAGACATCCCCTTTGGTCACCCCCAACAAACAGCGTACACAAATGGGGGAGCAACGGGGCGGGGGGAGCAGCCGGCTGCGAGGGGGAGGAGAGGAGCCCAAGTCTGCACTGGCGGCCCGGGAGAAAGTAGAAGAAAAGGCAAAGAGCGCGCGCCCAGCTGTGCTCCGCGCCCCAGCTTTTCCTGAGGCTCCTTCCCCTCCAAGGCAGCGGCCCCTTCACGTGGACCGGGTGGAAGTTTTGCTCGGAAGCCGGGAGCCGCCCAAGCGTGCGCCCCGCGGCGGGCAGCCTGGCACTGCGCGGACTGGGGGAGCACGTCGCCGCCGGTGACTTCGGGCTCGGGTGGCCTCCGGGCGCGCGGGGGGCGGGGGCGAGAGCAGACCGGTTCTTTTTTTATTGGACCTTGGGAGAACGCCTGTTGTCATCCTTTGCGGTCTCGCGTGGGGACCGCCCGGGGCCTCGGGGCCCTGGGTGTCCCTGGTGGCGCCACGGTAATCTCCGCGCCGCCCCCACCCCGCCCCCACCCGGCCTGGCGGACCGCTGCCGCGGGGCAGAGGGGGAAGGGGAGGGACCGCCGCCTGCGCCCCTCCCTGTGCGCTGTGCGAGGGAGTCACGGTCCTTCCCCACCTGCTGCTGCGGAGCAGCGTGGACTTGCCTGAAACTCCGCGGCTCCGGGGTTCCGGAGTGCAGGCCACTGCGGGCCTCCTGCCGGACTCATCGCCACTTACCCAAAGGAGACGGAGACCGAAGGGACTTCGCCTACTTGCAACAAGGCAAAATAAAAACCAGCCCGCACCAGACTGAGGACAAACGGGAAGAAGTGCTCTTTTCCGTGGAGATGTGTGCTAGGAGGCATTAAGCAGTCCGCAGATCGCCGGGCTAGGAAGGGCCTGGCACCTTCCAGCGCCGGGTGCAGGTACAGGCATCTCTCCCAGACGCCCAAAGGTCATGCAGCAATTCCTGACTTCCAAGGCAGCGTCCCAGCTTCCACAGGCACATTGCTGAAATGACATTTAGAGCCCAAGCCTCCTGCGTATGCATTATGCTTCAGTATAGGACCTTATACTCTACACACACATAGGACAGTCACACCCAGGAGCCGCAGCAAAGGACAGCGGACAGTTCATATCCACTTAGTCACTGTTTCTTTCTGTTGCCTATTTCAGCATCATCTTCTTTGCTACGTGGGTAATGTCTTTTAATTGATAGAGGATTTACTGTCAGCTACTACACTGATCCCTTCTGGCACGTGTGAGTTCATTTCTCATGATAAGTCTACAGTAGTCTTTGTGGTTAAGCCTGTATAAAAGACGAGGAAACCAAAGTCTAAAAGAAACCCAAGTACCTTTCCCAGAGAGAAGCCCAGAAGGCTAGAACCCAAAAGCCCTCAGCAGCACCCTTCATTGCCTTAGGTATGTCTTGGCGATAGCACATTAAACAAAAGAAGTTATCCCCATTCAAAGAAAATTTAGTTTTCCTATTTTATTACCTAAGTTACACCCCGAAAAAAATGAGAAGAAAGATTTCATCATCTATTTTAGGTTGGCCACAAGCAAGCAATATCAGCACTATGACATTCAAAGGGAAGACACAACATTAAATATTTGTCGCTTCAATTTAGTTGTTAATGAGTAAAGCATTGTGTACAGCTAAAAGGGAATGGAGAAAACAGGGTTGTGAATTAAACTGATAAAGGTACCTTCCCAGATCTCAATCAGGTCTCTGAGTGTTTTCCTCTACAGATTTATGGTTCTAATGGTAGGAAACACCTTGTGTGTTTGGGGGGGTGGGATTGGATCAAATGGGATTTGGAGTGTGGCTTATTCTGGCCTAAAAAGGAATGCTAGTTAATGTACTGTTAAGCAAAAATACCAAGGGGCAAGTTTGATGAATTTCTCTACCTCAGCTCAGAGAGAAACTAAGGGTTAAGAATGTTTAGCAATTTCTTGCTAAGTAGAAAACCTAAGATTCAAACTTTGTCTTGAAGTAACACCAAGATCTCCTCAGCCTCCTCAATGCTACTAATAGCAACAGCAGTCATAGTAGTCGTGGTGGTCATGATTCTTCATACAGTATATATATTACAAACTAAATGCATAATTAAAATATGAATCATTCAGCGTCTGAGCATGCCCTGTGTCTCTAGCAAGTAGCATAGGTGAATTAAGACAATGCTGAATTCAACAGTTTCTTCAGAAGTCCACAGATTTGTAATCTTGTTTTAGTATAAATCATTACGTGTTAGCTTTACCTCTAAATAAATGTAGAGAGGTGCATAATCAGCATAAAATGAAAGTTGGTCCATCATTAACACAGTTTCTAGCTGGTCTCATGGCTTCTTCATAGAATCAGATTTTCCACATGGTGACCTTGCCTTCAAGGTTATTTTGCTGGCACATAGTTTTTATACATCTACCCAAGAATGTGTTTACAGACTATCCAAATAAATTCAGAATCATATGACAATATTATTCAATTTCTTATAATTACTAAGAATGGTCTTAAGTATACCTGTGTTACATGGATACCGTTAAAAGTAAAATAAAATGTCATGTTTTCAGTCTTAATTTAAATAAGAAGTTGAAATTAGAAATCAAAGAATTTTATGGTTATCTAGGCAAAAATATTTTGTTTAAACGAGGCACCATCTCTAGCATTCCTATGGAATACCACTTCTATAATTACCGCCATATTACTTATAATAGTGTTAAGAAATATTTTAATCTATTTCATTAAATAAACCTATCTGATAAAGACAACCTTTTGCCCTCATCATAAAAGGAAACCCAATAATGTGGAGACCCATTATTTACCTTGAATAGAAAATGGTCTCATAAATGACTCTATATTGTGAAATAATAGTTATTCTTCTTGTACTACATAAAATTATGTAACACATCAGTTTGTGAAACTTTGGTTTCAAGAGTCATATCCTAATGTGTCCCTCAGGCTTTACAAAATACATTTTCAAGCCTTTCGTGTCTTCTACCAAAGAGAAATGCTGGATCCAGCTTAATTTTAGAGATTACATTTTAAAATCTGTGCTTATTCAATTATTGATCTCTACTAAAACATATTTTTAAATATCTTTTAAAAATTGACATATTTTTATTGTTTTTCTGACCATCGTACTGGGGCAAAATGCAAATAATCTGTAAGAACAAAGTTGAAAAACTAAGAAGTCTCCTGAAGCACAGCACCAGTTGCCCATTTTCTTTTCTTGTTTTTCATGCTGACCATTGAACGCAGAGCCTTCACAGTGAGCTACAACCTTGGCTCTACCTTGGAAATCTGCCACCGCTTTCTAGAAGGTTTTTCACCAACACTAGCTGAGCCTACAGGACCCAAATCAGGCTACATGAATATCCATAAATGTTTAATTCATTCTGAGAAAAGATATGTGGAAGCAAAGGAGAATGTGTGACTTCATAGAGAAAGTCAATGGAAATTTAAGCTTTGCTTATTAGCAATTTCCTTAACTCACCCCTCTAGGGCAGGATGCCTCTGCAGTTACCATTCACTATTTGTTTATTTTTCAAATGTGCATGGCACCGTTTTGGCATCCAGTATTGTATAAGTCAAATTAAACAAACAAAGTGCTCTAGGAGCTCATAACCCAAAACATAATTTTTATTTTAATTTCATTTAAAAGCAACCTTAAGGGAAAAATCATACCATCATTTTAGTAAGAACAGATTTTTATTCTAAAGAATGGAATAAGACACTGCATTTACCAAATAAAGAAAACAAGAGAACTGGATGTCTGGAGAAATAATCCCAAAGTAAATCTCTTGTGCACCCTTTTGATGTATCTTTAAACTCCAGCTGGAAGCATGTACAATGCTTACAGAAAATACAGTCATTCAATTGTTTCTTAGTACTTTCTAGGCCAAACCCATTGAGCTGCAGAAGAATGGAGTTCTAAAGGCCAGATTCCATAGAAACAAAGTTGACCACTGCCTGTTCTACCCACGAGAGACTGGAAGAACAAATGAGGAGTGGCAAGCATCTCAAGGCCTATGCTGCTGGTTTTCTAAAATCTATAAATAAACACACTTTCCGAGTAATGTTGCACAGACCAACCAAGCTTAAAAAGGCTTCTGCTAGTTTGTTAAATTGAAGAAATTAAGCCTACAGGAGACCTACTGGGCCATCGCCTTCTGCAGGGTTCTCTGAACTTTCTCATTCTTGGCAATGTCTGAAGAAAACGGATTGCACATTTTCTGGGAGACAGCTTCATTGTATTTACTTTGGAATCCTTTCTTGATTTTTTTTCTGAAGTTCAATCCTTTCAGTACCACATACTGCAATGCCACTCCAGCTTCCACGTTCCACCCAGCCTTCCATGTTTATAAACAGCTACCACGCCCACTGTTAGCAGCCTGTGAGCTGCCTTAAACACATGCAAATCCTGTTAGTCTTGCTGCACCTCAGCCTCTTCAGACTCTTCATCATTCTCATTGTTCCTCCGTGCACTTTTTCAATCTTCTAGATGGCCATTCTGGTCACAGGTCCCCTCCACAGATTCCAGGTGTGCTCTCATTAGCGTACGAGCCGACTCCTACTTTCTAAAAAATTGCCTTTATTGCGTCGTATTTTGGCTTCACTCTGTCTTCCCACCAATTCATGCTACTCATTTTAACTAGCTTACATGTTATTTTGTTTCTCTTAACTTCATAAAGTGTGTTCTCCTGGTATACTATGTCAAACCTGATTTCTCGAACACTCTTTTTTTTTTTTAAATAAAACTAGCCAAAGTAGGAGTGATACCACTTTTTGTACCTTTGATGTCATTGATTTAAAATCATCTACCTTTCAAAATAAGATACACCCAGTTAAAAATCTTCTTAATCAATTCCATAGTATTTCCTTGTGAAGTTTAGCTGCTTATCCAAATGTGCACTGATATATCATTGTTTTTTGTTTTGTTTTGTTTTGTTTTTCAGTACTGGGGATTGAATTCAGGACCCTGCGCTTGCCAGGCAGGAGCTTATTCTACTGAGTTATCTCCCCAGCCCTGATATAGTATTGGAATGTCCTTAAATATGTGATTCAAGGACTGGAAGAAGGAGGAATTCAATTTTATGAAGAGTAAGTAAACTGATTTGTCAATTTTAAGGTGATCTATTTGGCCCTTGTAACTCCAGTACACATTTATGATTTGAAATCTCAAAACTAGGGAGACTGCTAAATTGCAACACTCTAGACTGAATCCTTTTGAATGAAAACAAAATTTCATTGAAAACTTTGACAAAACCTTTAAATGTCTTTCCACTATAATTAACATCACAATTTCTTTGGACTCAATTTTTAAGCACATATTCTCAGCAACCCCTAACGTGACTTTAAATGTCACTGGCTGCTCAGGGATTCCTTTATCCTACCACCAACCCTCTCAAGAAAGGAATCAGAACTCACTGCATCCCTTTCCTCCCTCAAGACCTAGACACCTGGCTTCGGCTTCCTTCGTAGAGACTGGTCGCAAGGTCCACGATGATCTCGTGTTCATTTACTCATCTTCATCACCTTGATGCACAGGAGCACTTGGTCTTCTACCAGTGCCCCATTCTGGGTTTTGTTCTTACCCTCTGACTGCTGCGACAGTGCTACAAGCTCCTGCAGGCCTTCCTCTTCTCTCCCAGTGCCACTCAAAAATAGACCTATGTGTGTACTCTGTTGGCAGTGTCTCCTCATTGAGCCTTTTTTCACTGTATTATATTTTTACAACTAAAATTGCACCCTCATCATCTCTATTTGCCTCTAAATCAGGGCCTCAAAGACATCCGTGTCTTTCCCAGAAATCCTGGGCGTCTTCCCCTGTAGCGCCTGCAGACAGCTGGAGCTGAACTTGCTGCAAGCCGAAAGCATCCTCCTCAGCCGCAGCACCCCTCCCACCAGCTCCTCCTCTCGGAGCACCACCTCCTCAAGCCTCAATACCTTCTACTCCACCATCACCCTTCTCTTATTTTTCATATCCACACAATGAAGGACAGGACTTGTATCCATTGTTGGCAATATCTCCTCATCTATCATTCTATCTCTTTATCACTGCTCTTTCCCAGGTCAGAGTCTGCTTCTATTTTTGTTTTGTTTTGTTATTGCAATAATTGGCACCCTTGTTTTTAGGTTCTCCTCTTCCAGTCCTTTGGACAGAGGTGCACATCTTTGCTTTCACTGTAGTATGGTCTACCTCTCAGTTAAACATTCCCAATATCTTCCCAAAAATGACAAACATCTTAATGAAGCGGAAACAAAGTCCCAGAACTCATGCGGCAAACCAGAGCTTTGCATTTGCCTATCTCCCTAATGCACACCGCCTTGTACTCAGTAGATATATCATAAATATTTACTAAAAAATTAGATGTTAAATGAAGAATGTCCAAATACTCCAGCTATTGCTTGATTGGGAGCAATAATTCAGGATGATGGAGAACTTCCTCTTGGGGAACTAATTTGGTTTGGGGGAGTACCAGCTTGTGTAGCCACGTAGGCAATTTCGTAGATATTCTATCTCCAAAACAGTTTATTTTGTTTTTATTCTAGTACTATATTCCATTTTCTAAATACTGTAAAACTACTATGCATAATCAGAGATGAGGTATTCTGTATGTGTCACACAATTCCAGATTAGTCATGAATAATTTCATGCATGGAATAATTTCAAAAGCAGTCTGTAAGTATTAAAAACTA